AGCGCTTGTTTCCACAGGCAGCCGTCCAGGCGACTGTGGCAGCAGGAGGCCTCGCCCGGATTGGTCTGTCTGTGTGTCTGTCTGTCTGTCTGTCTGTCTGTCTGTCTGTCTGTCTGTCTGTCTGTCTCTGTGTGTGTGTGTCTTTCCCCTTATGTGCTGTTTCTGTGGCTCCGGCTTCTGTGTTTGTGGTGATACTTGATGTTCTCGCTGCCATCGTCGTTGACCGGCAAGTAAGAGGATAGACAGAGGCGGGCATGGGTGCAGCTAGCTCGACGTGCACAGCAGTATGTGCCGGTGCAGGCCCGCTGCTGTTTTGCCATTCGGCTGCTGTTCTCTCCCATTTTGCTACACTTTAACCTGGCAGTCTCACCAAGCTTAAACCGAATACTAGACTGAGGACACGCAGGGTGCCAGCCCGCTGTTCCTGGCCTGTCAGGAAGGAAAGGAGTCCTGTGCCAGGCACCCGTCGGGAACATGTTGAGCTAGAGTCCCTACTGGGGATATTCGGGCCCGCTTGCTTGGAGCAGAGACATATATGGGTAGCTGTCTAAATTAGGGTTCCCTTTTAGGAACCTTTTTTATAAGGGTGCCGTACTTTCTTGGGGACCCAAAAAGGGAACCGAATTTAGAGAACTACCCATATAAACCCTAAACCCTAATGTGGGACCATGTTCTTCTGTGTTGGGTTGGTCAGTCGTAGTGACGGGAGCTTAACCATGTGGAGCGCATCGTTGAGAGGTCCATGCACTGCACGAATCTCCAAGTCAGCTCTAAGCCCTAAAGCCGAAACTTTCCCTAAACCCTACCCCAAGCCCTGATCGAAGCCTCCCAAAGCCCGATTGAAGGTTTTTGACAGCTCTTTCTTCCACCTCGCACAATCTCACTTCTCGGCTCACCGCAGCCTTAACCAGGGGGTCCAATATATCGACGTTTGATTCTTTGGTCATGATACCATCCTCTAGTCCTAAAGCACGTACAGTACAACATACCCGAGAACCCTGTTCTGATCTTAGGGCCCGTAGAGTACAATATGCCCGAGAACCCTATTTCAATCTTAGGGCCTGTATCTTGCTTTCAGATGCTATCTTGCATCTCGGGCCGTGACAGCCGTGGCTCTCAAAACAGGCAGCCGCAAACCCTAAACCTCTGCAGGTTTAGTAAAAGCGGACCGAAAATCGAAATCTCTCAGCCCTAAATCCTAGAAGCCCTAAGCCCTAAGACCAAAAACAGACAGCCTTTTACGCAGCCTTCCATGGCTTTTGTTTGTTTTGTGAGCCTGGTTTCGCGCGCCATGGTAAAGGGTCCTAAATGGGATCGTGTCGTTTTTGGGTATATATGAGGTGTACACATAGGGTTAGTACTTCTTTTTCTGTAGGGTTTATAGACGGTTCTATGTTAAGGTCCCCTAGGTTCTGAAACCACCTAAACCCTAAACTCCAAACCCTAGCGGCCGTAGTTTCTGAAACTCCCGAAGCATAATATACCCCAAACCCCTATTCTATTTGTTAAGGGTCCCTACATTACAGTAACCCTCATGTATAGTGTCCCTTTTAAGGAACTATAATAGACCCCGAACCTATTATTAAGGTCCCTACATTACAGTAACCCTTATAGAAACCCTAAACCCTAAACCCCCCTTTTAAGGAACCCAAGAAAGCCCCGAGAAGAGCCTTGGGCTTCCTGATGGCAGGTTCCTCCTTGACCGCTGTGGCCGAGAGAAAGTTTGCCTCTCCGAGGAATTTCGGGTTTTACGGTTTAATACAGTTTAGGGTTTAGGGTTTGGGGGTTCAAGGGTTTAGGGGTTTAGGGTGTTTTTTTAGGCTCTAGGCAAACTTAGCCTTGTCTCTTCCAGTTCGTCAGCCGGGAATTCCGGGTTTTACGGTCTCGGCTTTTGCCAAACTTTCAGGGCATTTCTGGTACAAGTAGTCTTGTCTGTTCTTCCTCACTCACTCGATGGCTAGATGTAGCACTACCAGTTCTTGCAAGCACATGCTTCCCCGTGCTGCAGCGGAATGTGTCGTGTTGGTGTTCACGAGGCTTGTTTCGCTCCACTGTTGATAGCTCGTAAGTATTTTCGTAAGCCACGCCGCCGTGCCTGGACTTGTTGCTGCTTCGATGCCAGTGAGTGCTGAGCCCAAGCCTCAATCGGAATCTAAACCCTAAACCCTAAACCCTTAAACCCTAAACCCTAAACCCTGAACCCTTAAACCTTAAACCTTAAACCATAAACCCTAAACCTTAAATCGGAATTCCCAGGCGTCAGCCCTGACGATGAAGAGCCGAAGCTCTGGGTGAACTTCGCGGCTGCCCGACTGCTTCCAACCGTAAACCATTCGCAACCCCAAACCCCCCTAAAATCCTAAACCACGAGCCCTGAAAACACAAAATCAAACAACTCTACAAACCCAGTACCCTGGAACTATAAAAATATGTGTATAAACACAGTAGGAACCCTAAAACGGTAGGTCTTTAAGCTTGGAGGGCTTCACTTCAAAGCCTTTGTGGAGTCGGGGCAATGGGAAGTTATGCCTCCGTTTCCTTTGTTCCAGCTTCATGGTCGCTTGCCAACCAAGGGTTTAGGGTTTAGGGTATAGGTTTCAGGGTTTAGGGTTCAGGGTTAAGGTTTAGGCTTATAGGGTTTACAAGTTTCCTGTCCTGCACCCTCGTCCCTATACCCGGAAACCAAACCCCAAAGCGCAAAACCGCACACCCTCAGCCATAAATGCATGAGGATCGGCCGCTCAACAGCGAGGCCACACCACTGTATGTGGCGGCGCAGACACTTTGACGATGACGGTTCTAAGAGGGTTAAGGGTTTAGGTTCGTGGTTTAGGTTTTAGTGTCTAAGGTTTAGGATTTAGGGTTTANNTAGGGTTTAGGGTTTTTATGGGGTTTGCAAAGCCTTAACGGGATGTTATAAGGGCTTTTTAAGAGTGAGGAAGACGGGACTGGGGCGCCTCAAGAGCGTGCAAAGGGGGGGGGGGTGGAGGGTTTGTGAGGGTGGCAGGCAGGTTCTTATGCATCTATATCTATATCTACATCTAGATCAATCTCCATCTCTATCTATACCGGTATCTGTGTCTGACTATCTCTGTGTTGTTGTTGTTGTTGTTGTTGTTGTTGTTGGTGGTGGTGGTGGTGGTGGTGGTGGTGTTGGTGGTGGTGGTGGTGGTGGTGGTGGCGGCGGCGGTGGTGGTGGTGGTGGTGCT